CTCTGAGTAGTTTCAATTAACTAGAGGTGTTGTGGTTGAATTGACTTATATAAAGCAATTCAGGCGCAAGAAAAGTGCGCCACTCGTTATGCTGCGCCACTCGTTATGCAAGTACGTTAGGTAGTATTTATATGAGGGTACAAATTAATACAATTAATGTAAAAGTTCAGATGTGTCGTACGAAAAGGGATATAGGCCAGACGGGAGTCAGGGTAAGACAGTAAGGTCCTCGATATTAAACCTAGGCTACTAACAGCTCGATCACAAGCTCAATGGAGTGAAAACGGCACTTGGACATATACTGTACAAACGGGCAGAAGAACTATCATCTATTTACACTTCTCACACATCTCGTGGAGAATGTATTTGAGCTCGATGTTTCAATCTCACTCCGCCCTCTCAGTATGAGAACTCCTGGCCAACCAGACGTTCGCTCAGCTTCCACAGCCGCTCAGCCTCGACTGGATTCGTGGCCCAAGGTTTGATCTCGCCAGTCCATGGGTCGGCAACCCGCGAGTCCAAGAGGTAGGCACCGTTGTGGTCTGCATATATCGTCTCCAGGTCAGCGTTTTCACGGATATGAACATGAAAATGCAACAGGACTGGATCACATACCTTTCAAACTTGGATGAAACGCCGCAAACACATAGGTAGCAACGCCCTCGTCGTGCGTCTTCAAGTCATACCCGCCTGTCTCCTTAGGCCAGCCCTCCTTGTTGCCCATCACCTTGTCCACCTCAGCTGTAGAATCGTTAAGACCAGACCCTTGGATCCGTACCAGAGAGTATGGGGAAACGTACCCATGCCGTCCAACTCGTTCTGGATATCCAGATGGCTAATCAGATTCGTATCCATAATGACACCAGGATGCACACTAAAGGCCAGCAGCCCCTTCTTCCCCAGCTTCTCAGCCAGCGATACAGCCATCAGGATGTTGGCCGTCTTGGACTGCCCGTAGGCCCTCCACTTGTTGTAATTCGTCCCACCCTGCAGTGCAGCTCTGTCAGACCCATCCCATCCCTCTCAACACCTTTTAATATCATATCACAGAAGCAGACTGGAACTTACATGAAAATCCAAATCATCCCACCGCACCGGACTAACCCTGTGCCCCGAGCTACTCACACTCACCACCCTCGGCTCTCTCGCCTTCAGGACCTTCCCCATAATCAAATTCGTAAACAGCCAATGCCCCAAATGATTCGTCCCAAAATGCCTTTCAACTCCATCCGGCGTGAGCCCGTACTCCACGCCCATAATCCCCGCATTATTCACCACAACATCAATAGCGGGCACATCCCCCCAGGAATTCACCTCGGCCGCCGCCTCATGGACAGCCTGAAGTGAGCCCAGATCGAGACGCAGGGTGCGGGTCTTGACGCCCGGGTGGGATTTCGCTAGATCAAAGGCTGTTTGCTGCACTTTGGCTGGGTCGCGGCCGGCGAGGATGAGGAGAGAAGGGTTGGCTGCGGCAATGGCTGAGACAAAAAAGGCGCCGAGACTGCCTGGCGATACGCCCGTGGTGAGGATGACTTTGTTGTGGATGTGGGAGGAGAGTTCGTCCACGAGGCAGGTGCCGGTGGTTTTGGGGGTGTAGGGGGCGGGCATTTTGATCAACATGAAGGGTCTCGGTTTTGAACGCTTGAGGAGGGTTCTTGAAACCAAGTCGAGTTGGCAGATTTGAAAGTTGAGTTACTCCTGCTGATTCAGTTTGGACTTGGTACCGGCCACGAGACATGGAGAGTTAGCCAGTTTGGATAACGGCCAATGACTTTCTAGTATCCAATATATACCTACACTACTAGTACTACTTAGAGCATCCCCAGTAGGATCAGGATGTGATTGTCATTACTAATGTCTTTAGCGTTTAGCGCCGCGGACTTTGACCCAGGTAAATCCATCTCATGTATAGACTGCTCTAGGTTATGTTCCATCTGGAACTCCGTGGATTTCAGGTAGCCTCAGTAAACCTGTACTAGAATGTTCCATTGCGTGTGGTTGCTGTTGTTCTGTGGTCCGTACCTTGCATAAGGGTACAAACCTCCCAGACCCACCAAAATCCTTCGAGTCGAATCCTGCTTCATGTTTGGTATTTCCAACCCGGG